CATCCGGTTTTAGTTAGTCAGCTGCCACGTAATTACTTAATTGATACTTTAAAGCACAAGTTACCTTATTTACCCTAATTTGATGACGTGTCAAACCATCATTTGCTAGAGTAAAGTTCAATTCTTCCAAACTTTTTTTACTCTGTCCTGTTTTTATATTTTCTTTGTTTAGTGGCCAAACCTCAACGAAGTTAATTTTTTTTGAATTTTTTGAATATTTTTAAACTATTTCATAAATTCAAAGAACAAAAATTTACAAGTCAAATCAATTTTTATTTCATTTTTCATGATCATGATGCTAATTTTAATTATTATCGAAATTCAAATAATAAACATTCCAATAGGCAATATTGTGTATTGGTAAAGGTATGTATAACGGAGTTGGTTCAAGTGATAAATAGTTTAATATCGCTTAAGCAAAGTCTTAGGTTCAAATCTTTGTGTATGCAGAAAATCCTCACTGAAAAACTCACATACCAAAACTAGGTGTATGATCTGGGTCGGTCTAGATTAGTTAACGCCGAATCCTGGGAGCCGGAGGGTAACAAAAAGCAAAGTATGTGTATATAGTTGTTTTTTTTAATATTAATATGTTTAAATGAGGTTGTTTGTATTAATGAAGTTACGTTTGTATTTTATAGTAAGTTATAAGTATTTTATTTAAATTTAATAAAAATGATTTAAAATAATTAAGGAAATAAATAAAGTTTAATACAAAAATAAATGTCTAAATTATATTTCAAAATACAGTTTGGTATCTAAAGAATTTTTCGTTAAAAATAGGTGTTTAATGTTTTCAATAGGGACGGATGCACTAAGCCCCCTAGGGGTCAAGTACATCCCCATTTGTAGGAAAAAAAGTGAAATTTAGTATAATATGTTAAAGAAAAATGAAAAAAATAAAAAAAATTTTGCACTCCCATTATTTTAAAGAAAAAAAAATTAAAATTTTAGACCCCTATTTATAAATTTCTGGATCTATCACTGGTTTCCAACATTACATTTTCATGTGCCCGGACGTTAATTGTCGTTAAAAATCTCCGTTAAGTGACACATGTTACGTTTTAGTAATTTTGAGAATTTTTAGTTAAAATAAAAAAAAAAAAATAATAATAATAACTATTTTTTCAAATCTTAAAAATTCAAAACTTTTAAAACCTTAATTTTAATCTCTTTGCCACCACCGACCGCCACCAACGTCATCAATTAGTCGAACACTCAACAACGTGTGACCGACCAATCACCCACGACCAAAACCTCCATACTTTCACAACCAATCGAACACCTAAAATGGTATAAATTAAAGATTTCATTTTAGGGTTATAAATCCCTAAAAAGTCCTTGTATTGATCATGATAATTGGCCATTTGATCAGATGTGATGATCACTTTTTTGTCGTTTGGTCGGTCGTGGCAGTCAACCTTGACAGTCGACCTTTGGCCGTTTCAAGAGGAGGGGAAGACGGTGAGGTTCAAGGGTGGGGGAAGAAGGGGAGGGGGAAGAAGAGGGTGAGGGTGAGTTTTTTTAATATTTTATTATTAAAAAAATATAACAATATGCACCAAAAGTATAACGAATAAAACATTAGACACTTATTTTTTGCAAAAAGTTCCTTATACACCAAATTATATTTCTTGGTATAGCTTAGGCACTTACTCTTGTTTTAAGCCATAAATAAAAAAGAAATTCAGGGATCAAATAATAAAATAGTCAAATTATTTATCTAAAAGACTAAAATAACATCTTTACTATTTTCACTTTTTATTTATTCAACTTTTTTAAAATTTTAATTCAACTCAAACAATTTAATTTTTTTTAATTTAAATATCGTAAGGTTAAGAGTTATTTTTTTTGTAAGTTTTGTATATATATATATATATATATAGTACAAATTATATATGGATTTTAGAAAATAAAAATAAAAAACAAAACAGGATTGGTTTATTAACATCGTTGATGAATTAGTAATTTTATTGGCTACTTTAAAATAATAATTAATACTTTTTAAAATTAAATATAATAATTTATTGAATATTTATCATTCTTCGAATTTTTTTGTACTAATATTATATTAAATAATAATCAGCTCATATATAATTGGTATCATTTTCTATTAAAATTTTAAAAAAAATTCAAAAAATCAAAGAAAAAGTTTGTTATTTGACCAGGTCGACCTTGTCGGTGGGCTGAAAAAAAAAGGAGTTCATGTATCCCACTGGAAATTATGTAAAATTTTGGATTTACAAAGAAAAATACAAAAAAAAACGTATTAGTCAGGACTTTTAAGGCTTATTTTTCTTTTGTTTATTTGGGGAATATTTTTTTTAAATTTCTAAATATTATAATAAAATATAAGATCGTTATATATATATATATATATATATATATATATCTTATTTAAATTTTAATAAACCATTTTTACTTTAAAATTGCATTTGAAAAAATTCATCCACTCTTAAATAGCAACAACAATAATAATGGGTAGGGAAGAAAGTCACAAAAATTCTTTGTTAGCTTGTGAATTTGTTTGACTTTTTTGCTATGGAACTTGTGAAAAGATGATGTTGGAAGTGGGCGAGCTTTTACTTTTAGCCGTTCAATTTTGACTTAAAAGTTTAGAAATTAATTCAACTATATTCATTAGATTATAATTTAAATTTAGGGATGTGTATTTTCAGATACGGATATAATCCGGTTCGATCCAAAAAAATCAGATATCTGAATTTTCAGATCGGATATCCGATACAAATATAAATTTTAATTTAATAAAAGTTTTAATTTTAAATTTAATATTTCAATGCATATTATTAATGATGCAATTTTTAATTTTTGAATGAAAAATGCCATTAATTTCTTTCGTGAATAATTTTAAATTTTAATACTTTGAAAATGTTAAATTTATTTTATAATAGTAAAGCATTCTCCTCCGCTGTTTCCTGCAATATTTCTAATTAAATGTGATGATGAGAGAATAAAAGAAAAAGATTTATAAAAAATTACTTTCAAAATGCACTGTAATTCACTAAGTAAGGTCACTAAGGGGCTATTTGTTTGGCTCTGAATGGAACCATTCAGCAATGAATGCTGAACCGTTCAACATGCAGACTGTTTTTTTCTCACCTCTGAATGATTCAGTGTTGACTGATTCAATAAAACAGTGTTGAATGATTCAGCACAGAAGTACATTCTGAATGATTCAGCACAAAAGTACATTCTGAATGATTCAGAGTCATTATCAAACAGCATGTCACATTTAGAGCTAATTCATACAAAGCCTCTAAATCATTCAGTATTTGAATCATTCAACGCTTAATCATTCTGAAGTAAACAAACAACCCCTAAGTAATTCAAAATTTCAAAGTACATGCTTTAGAAATCATTCAAAGTATTAATTATCTCATCAATAATGATGTCTGGTTGCTCCAAAGTTAAATTCTTCACGGTTACATCACACAAAATCAAAGTTATCAAAGGCTCAAAGCGCATAGATGCGCAAAGTGTCCTGGAGCCTTGAGGCGCATGATATCCAAAAAATTGTAATACATGTATATATTAAAGCAATCAAACTCAAATATCATAGATACCCAATATTAGGATTCAATAGAGTTCATTCTCAAACTCAAAATACCAACCTAATGTCATAAAAGTTATCAACAAGCATAATCAAGTCGCTAAAAATGATGTTTAACGTCGCAGTCGCTAGTCGAAGAAAATGAGGAAGCGACCGATCGATAGGTTAGTACGTGTGGATTAGAAGGTCGATTGAGAATCGATTGAGAGTTTTAGGAGTCCTAAAAGGTGATTCATTTTAATACTAAAATAAGCCACGTCTTCATTATGTTACCTTGAAAACGATGGAATGATAAAAAAACTTAACACATAAAGTTTAATGAATATATTTAAAAAAACAAAATATACAGTAAATAAAATAATAAAGAAAGTAAAATTCAATAAACATATATTATTTGATTATTTCATTGTTTGGGCCATAAAAATCTGGGCCACATAAATAAAATTATCTGCAGAAGGAATAATGTATGGATTATATACATCAAAGCTTGTCTCAACTATACCAGACTAAATCCAAAATTTTGTCAACCAATGGTGGAGTTTTGGTGAAATTCGTAGAGCTGAAAATTAAAGTAGCATTTTGCTAATAATGTTATAATGGAAATCACACATGTCAGTATTCGATTCACAGACCCAAATTTCGTTGGATGAGAGATTCAATCAACTGTCCCTCGCCTATAACTCAAACACCTTCTCCTTCAACATCCTAGCTTCTGTCTTCACCGTCTCCACCAAAAATGGCAACTGAAATGGCACTCGTAAAGCCTATCTCCAAGTTCAGTTCAAGCACTCCAATCTTCACCAACTCACGTTATGTGAAGTTCACCACCATCAAGATGTCATCCACTTCGCAGCCAACAACAAAGACCGTCGTCAAGGGCGGCAAGAAAACCGCCAAAACAGCAATCAAAGAGACCCTTCTGACGCCGAGGTTATACTCCACCGACTTCAATGAGATGGAGACCCTTTTTAACACCAAAATCAACAAGAACCTCAACCAGTCCAAGTTCGAGGCGCTACTTCAAGAGTTCAAGACGGATTACAACCAGACACTTCGTGAGGAACAAGGAGTTCAAGGAGGCTGCTGATGCCAGTAATAATTACAAGGTTTTAAGCCCACATCGCGCCTCAATTGCGCCTCGACTGAGCCTCGCGCCTGGCTGCGCCTCGCTGTGCCTAAGTGTGCCTAGGCTACGTACCTCGCTTCAGTGTTGAAAAAGCCCCGTTCAGTGAGCCTCTGCGCTTTTGCGCCTCAGGCGCGCTTTTTACAACTATGCACAAAATAAAATAAAATAAGATTAAAACATGCATTTACGTTTAAACTTTAAATAATGAATAAACAACAAAATAAACAATCAGAAGTTAAAATTAAACTAACCTTCTTCCACTTCTTTCAAGGCAAGAAATTTTTTCTCTATTATAATAGGTGATCGAGAGGTGTGTAACCAATCTTGAGTGCAAACAAGTGTTTCAACTATTTTTGGAGTCAATGAAGTACGAAAAGAATCAAGGACACAACCCCTCGTACTATAAGCCGATTTGGAAGCTACAGTCGAGATAGGTATGACAAACACATTTTTAGCCGTGAATCAGATATCTCTTTGGTTGATTTTTCCACCATTGCAAGATATCAAATTTTGAAACATAAGACTCACAAGCTGAATTTTTTGGCTGCTGAATTTTGTCTTTCGTCCTCCCAGACACCATCATCGAATCAACAAATAAAGAATTAACATCTTTATTCTCATTAAAAGATGATATATTCTGCAAACAAGCAATAAAATACGACTTAGGCTCATTTTAGTACTGATGCTGCCAGAAGTTTAAGTTTAAAAGAAAATAGTTAGAAGAGAAACTTAACACCATTGTCTATTAACTGTTGAAATGAAAATGTTGAAGATGCACTATATAAAATAAACTTTATTCATTTCCTTGTTATCTAATTCGATTAAGAAAAGAATCATGTTTTCAGTAGCATAAAATGAACTAATTATAAACTCATCTACAAAAATAGAAAATAAGAAACCAGTTCAACATTAGTTATGTAAGTATAAGGCCCCTATTTCACAAAACATTTGTTTTCCTTGTTCCTAAATAAAATTCAATATAATTGTTTTGTTATTAAACTGAAAATAAAATAAAATATTTTAATTTTAATCAAAAGTCCTTAAAACTGTGAGGATACTTTTCAAGTTAGTTGAAAAGTAACCATTTATTTTAAACATGTATATTGATACATTGGAGAAGCTATTTCTCTTTAAATCTTATAATCCCAAAAAGACCCAACGAAACAACTTTAAAATGCTCATACTAATGAGCTGAAATTCATTCAGCACTAAAGGAAATAGGTCAATACCTACAACAGAAATTGAAAGCCATTCTCTTTAATAAAGAAGAACAAAACTCTCAAGGCTTCAAATTACCTGAAACACATAAAACAATATAATCTTACCAAAATACTAAGGAATATTCACTTCCTACCACTATATTGAACGATTATTCATTTAAAAGTAATAAATATGATTTCAAAATTTCACACACACCATTGATTTCTATTTTTAATGTAAGCTTACTTGAGATGGGAATGGAGGTTGCTTAGGGTTTTTTCTTGTCATATCTTGAGCGTTGAAAAGGTAGATCCACCGGAATCTAAATGAGTGAGCTTTGACTGAGTAGTGATCTGAGTAACCCAAAAATAGAAGCTTGAGTTTGATGGTGAAATTTTTGGGAGATGAGGTGACCTCGTGAGATTTAGGTGTTTGATACTTTGGGTGTAAAGTGTGTACTGGAATTAGACAATGAAAGACGGTTACTTGACTAGGGCAATAATTTTAAAAATTATTATTTTAAAATTGAATTAAAATTTTAGCAAGATGTGGGCGTTGGGTGTAGAGCTGGGTATATGGGCTAACACCCGCGGGTTACCCGTATAACCTGCGGCTCGGGCGGGTTTTGGGTTTTAAAAAATAAAGTTTGTTTAAATTACGGGTTTTTTCATCTGGATTGTTAAACCCTCGGATTTAATGGGTATACCTGCGGGTAGTTCACGGGTAGCTCGTTTAATTTAATTTTTTTTAAATTTATTTTATGTTTTACGGAAGACAATTCATGCTTAGCTCAATTCACGTTTTATGTGCATTTTAGCCATAGTCAAATTCACGTTTTATGTGCACTGAAATCTAAAGCCCAATTCACGTTTTAATTTGATGATATTCAATTTTGAAGTTTGAACGTATTAATTATACATATAGTAACGTAATACGATAACTTAAGCAAAAAGGTTTCCATCTTTTTATATATGTATTTACCATTTATAATTAATACCATCAATATATATAAATAAGCCATAAAACGTTTATTATACTCCAATAATTAATCATAAGAAAAACTATATACATATACGTTAAAAAAGAAAAAAAAATCTAAGTATTAAACCATGTATAAATATAATAATTAAATTAAAAAGTTAAAGTATAATAATATGCAAATAATATATAAAACTTGAGGTAGTGATAAAAAACATACATAAAATTAGAGTGCAAAATTAAAATAATAAAATATATTTGAGGATTATATTGCATTAATTCAAAACTGGGTGGAGCCCTTACACGTTTAGCACATTAAAACTTGTCATAAAATTTTAGGAACCATAGCCTCATTTTTTTTGTTTCTCTTCTCCGTTGTTTCTCTCTATCTCCCCAACTTCTCTCTTTTTTCACATAAACAGTAAATGGGTAAGCCCGTTTAGTCCGCGAGTTAAATGGACGGACTGCGGTCCTTAGAATTCAAGATTGTTTATGATTGCGGGCTTTTTATTCGTTTAAGCCCGCACCGTCAAAACTCGCAGTCTAAATGGTCGGGTAGCCTGTATACCCAGCTCTAGTTGGGTGGGCTAGGATTGTTGGGTTACCTTCTTTTTATATTTTGCACTTTTACCCACCAAATTTAAAAAACATAAGCTTTGGTCACTTATGTTATTGTATTAAGTTTTGGTCACTTATGTTATTGTTTTACTAAATTTTGGTCACTTGAACGTTGAATGATGTTAGCTTAACGACTCGACCCATTAGTAAAATGGTTTTGTTTTTATTTTAACCCCTAAAATTTAGACAAAATATTGATTATGGGTCTTTTTGTAAATTCAAATTAATACAGGGATAATATTAGCTTTAGAGTTTAGGGTTGTAAGAAAATGTATAAAAAGAAGTAATGCAGATCATGAAAAATACAAATAATTAGCTATTAAAACTCTGAAAAGATTCACCATGACGACGATGACACTACTTCGAGCCGAGAAAACTATAGCTTCTTCAATGGTGGTGTTATTGACGATACAATACCAGACTTCCATCTCGAACGCATTGTTGACCAACGAAATCCCTGTGATGTGAAATATTGTCAAGAATGTTTCATTGCATTTGAACATGATTGACCTCCACGACGTTTATGAAAATTAAATAGACACTCACTTAGTACTAGAGCTCTGCTCTGACTGTGCGTTGTTTGATCGAGTCATCGTGGAAATGAGATATTTGGATGTCGTCGCGGTGACAGTGGTGCAATAGATCGTGCTAGCTGTAAGGGTTAATGATGATTCATAAGGCGAACATTGTTCATAGGATCTATAATTAAAAAATTGCTTGTTCTTGAGCAAATACAAATAGTCGACGTTGAAGATCATGGATTTTGGATTCATTTCGATTGAATAAATTCATGGATCCGATTATCGGGTTGTTTGGATTCATCGATTAAGTTTCACAGGATGCGCTTTCTCAAGGGAAAATCACCATGTAAAGTGATATCCAATTACCAGGTTATTTGGATCCATTGGGTTATCTTCTTATTCATTGTTAGATTTGTCTTCTTCAATATCTATATTTGGAAATTGAATTTTAGTTTGTATAAATGAGATTACTCGATGCTTCATTTTATCTCTAGATGCCTACCCTCTCATTTTTCTTTGAACTTGTGGTGTTATTATTTGTTATCAGAAGTTGGAAGTCTTGCATTATTCTTGAAATGCAACATGAGTCATTGAAACAAGGCAAATAAAGCAATGGAGCAGAGATGTCTAAAGAAGAATCAGAGATAAGATGAACAATAATAGGGTTGGGAAGAAAACCTATTAAAATGGATAAATTGAAATGTTTTCCCTAAACGAATTTGAATTTACAAAAGGACCCATAATCAATATTTTGTCTAAAGTTTAGGGGTTAAAATAAAATTAGACAATTTTATTAATGGGTCACATCATTAAACTAATGACATTCAATGTCTTAGTGACCAAAACTTAATAAAACGATAACATAAATGATTAAAACTTAATAAAACAATAACATAAGTGACCAAAACTTGTGTTTTAAATTTGGTGAGCAGATATGTCTAAAGAAGAATCAGAGACAAGATGAACAATAATAGGGTTGGGAAGAAAACCTATTAAAATGGATAAATTGAAATGTTTTCCCTAAGCGAATTTGAATTTACAAAAGGACCCATAATCAATATTTTGTCTAAAGTTTAGGGGTTAAAATAAAATTAGACAATTTTATTAATGGGTCACATCATTAAACTAATGACATTCAACGTCTTAGTGACCAAAACTTAATAAAACGATAACATAAATGATCAAAACTTAATAAAACAATAACATAAGTGACCAAAACTTGTGTTTTAAATTTGGTGAGCAAAAATGTACAAATATGAAAGGAAACTGATCAAAACTTAATCCACATATTATCTATGTATAAATGATGTAATTTTAATTTTATATAATTACAGTGCCATGTCAGCAAACCATTAAAGGTTTAACGGCTGTCAACCTTTAGTGATCATGTCTTACTTAAAACGAAACAAAAGAAATAAAACATTATATTTTTAAATTCAGTGAGTAAAAGCTTATAAAACTAAAACAAAAGTGACAAATTTTGCTGTTTATATTAAATATTGTAAAAGATATTTAAAAAAATAAATTAGAGCTATTTAATATGTAAATTAAACTATTAAAAAAATATAAATTAAACTTTTACATGTCTATCCCACCTCTTATGAAACCACGATTATTAAGAAAATTTTAGATAAGACTAACATAATGACATATAGAACATATAAATTAAAGTTTACATAATTCTACCTATTGAAATTTTAAAAATTAAAGCTCTGAATTATAAATTTTAAATCTTAGATAGTACACACAACATTAAAATAAATGACGGTAAACTATGCATTTAATATCTAAACTATTACCTTTGGTCTGTTCTAGTACCTAAACTTTCATTTTCTTTCAAAAGCGTACCTAAACTATTAGTTTTGGTTCATTTTAGTACCTAAATTTTCTATTTTTTTTTCCAAAACTCAACGTTAAATTTTGAACGGAGTACTAACATGAAACAAAAATAACCTTTAGGTATTGTTTTGAAAAGAATGAAAATTTAGGCACTAAAATAGACTAAAACTTATGGTTTAGGTACTAAACGCGTAGTTTACGCAATAAAAAATTTTTGTGTGAACTAAAATTTATACATGTATATTTGATAACTTTTCTTAAAATAATTCTATCTAATATCTAAATTAAGGAATAAATAAATAAGCATTGCAAGTTGAAGAAACTTTACCAAGCAAATAGTTTAGGTGAGTTTTTTTTTTAAAGTCTGGTATACGTTCAAAAAATTCTTAATTATTTGATAATTAATGTTCATAAACTCCTATGGACATCATGTACAAATTCAGAACCTTAAAAAATAACAATAATTCTTTAATCACTTAGGTTACTTGATTCGTGATTTAGAAGAGAAGTTTTCATGAAGATATGGATTCATAGTTTTAATTGAAACATGGGTTGACTTAAGTGGTATAATTCATGAAGACGATGTACACATTTCGTTCGAAATCCAACATATAACTTTTGAAAATCAAAATCTATATGGATGCGGATCTTCTTTTACATTATTTTCATCTTAGTCATTGTAATAATGATCTCTACCGTTGCATAGGAGATTTTAAAACAAAATTTATGAAATTATAATTACTTATTTACATTTTTATAAACCAATAGCTGATCGAGTTACCTTTAACTGAAAAGAAAAAGAAAGAAAGAGGTTGCTTCTGGGTTGAAGTGGAAGTTTCTAGTTTAATCCTTTAGATGCAAAAGAAAATTAAAGGAGCAGCGTGAAAGTTTGGTGGCGTTACTTTGCAGTATATTAAGATTGTCGTATCTGAGACATCCTCGTGGCGGAAAGACATAAATGTTTCATGTAAATGAACCAATATTCTGTTGATGGAATCGTTGGATCAACAACATTTTGAACCGGAAGATAGAGAATCTAAAAAAATAACAATAATTTCGAGTTAATTTCATTTAGATGAATTGAAATTAAACTTAAAAAAATATTTTCACAGTAAAAGGGATTGAGCAGATCAAAGTACATAAACTGAAGAAGAAGAAAAAGAACAGAAGTAATTTAATATTTCCAAGATTTCATAAGATGTGTGCCCTCTTCATATGTGTGATCGATTCCTTTACAACTGAAGAAATTACATATATTGATCAGATACTAATATATGTTGAATAAGAAAATATATTTAATTTTTAAAAAATTTATTGTATTTATGAGAATTATATCATATTATTATATTTAATTCTGGATTGGATTAATTCCATTTTCTATTAATTTAGAATTCAACTAATTTTATTCCATTATTTTGTGTTTATTTCAAATTTTCTAAATTAAGTTGATTTCATGAGGGATAAATTTCTAGCAAACAGTAGCGTTTTTTTTTTGATCTGATGCAGATATCAGTAGGCCTGTAGGCTGTAAGATGGCAATGCCTTTAAATTGCCAATTATATGTGTTTTCTTATCTCACCATTCACGTCTTCCTTGTATATAAACCCTTGGGGTTCTCAAGCTACAACATCATAAAACCATCTTCATTGTTTTCTCATTCGTGTTAAAACTTGTTTTCGAGGCTCCGCAATGGCGACCACTGTTGAGAATTCCATCGCCAAAGCTGGGAAGGAAGTTGCAGTTGAAGTGGAACCGAAGACTGGAGTTTCATTCCCGGTTAAATTGGATGATGGGAAACGGTTGAAAAGCGTTGGTGTCAGGAAGAAATCCATGCTTGGATTGGGCATCAAGATTTACGGCTTTGGCTAACTTTCTTCAAATTCCCAGATTCCTAATGCATGTATGTAATTTCATGATGGTGATCATTGTATAGTCATGTGGTCAAGAGAAGAATTTGTTGGCATTTCTCAACCACGTGTTTGATCAATGTCCCAACTGAATATTGAAACTAAACATTCAATGAATTGATCAATGATTTTACAGGGATGTATGCAGACAATGGGAAACTGAAGGATTTGTTGAAGTCCAAGATTGGGAAAGCCCCTGAAAAACTCAACAAGGAACTCTATCAATTGGTCATTGATAGTGATGTGGGAATGGTGGTAAGATTGGTGATTGATTTCTCTAGCCTTACCATGAGCATGGTAAGAAAGAACTTTGAGGAAGGTCTTGGAGCATCCATCAAGAAACTAACAGGTGGAAAGGACCAAGTAGCAAACAAGTACTCGACTTTTCGCTTTTCTTGAAGCACCTGCGATCCGAGTAAACATGAGACCCTTGAGTAGAACTCACTTAAAAATTACTTGTTTTTGTTTATGACAGGCTCATGGGAGAAGCGTCAGATAACATCCAGCTAACACCGGGGTCACTCATCGAGATTTCTCGGCTTCCAGGCTATGTTCTCGAAACCAAGGGTGAGTGTCTGAAGGTGAAATGGTGTTATTCTGATATCTGAATTCTTACCGAGTATAACTACATGCAGAAATGTGAGAAAATAAGTTGTGTTTTTGATTGGTTTGCAGTGATGGGTGAAGTGATATCCAAGGTTGAGAGTGAACTTCTCTGCAGGGCTTATATCAATTTGTATCTGGGAGATGATCCACTTGATAAGGATGCCAAAGATAAGTTTGGGAAGTCCTTGATTTCTCTGTTCTAGATATATAGGTTCTCGGACTAAGGCCGCTGATTAATAAAACGGATAATAATGCAAATGCAACTGGCTATAAAACGTAGCTTTAATGTCAATTTAAGCCTTCGGTTCTGCAGAACTTGATCATTGAACTAAAGATGTGATTCAAGGTTTCAATTCTAATTCATCAAATTTCGGAACTCATTTTGTTCGATTCTAATCTATCTTACAGTGAGGGATGAGATATGTCTTTGAAATGGCTGTGAATATATAATACATGGTATTGTGAACGTATAGACTTGGGTTTTTCATCTTGTTTGGGACTCGTATCTTTGCCTAAACAAGTCATAGGCCCTGCACTGAATGCTGAGAACTTGTAAGTTGGCACATGAACTATGTCTACGTTATCGAAATCCACCTTCTGGTTTGAATTCTAAGCAATCTTTCCCCCAAATTTCTTCACTCCGACTATCAAGATCCGTGTGTTCTCATTGACAGTGGCACCACTCGGAAGAGCATCAGGACAGACTGCGATTTTATGATTCACGGGTACAGGTGGATAAAGCCTTAATGTCACACACAAGGCTCCATGTAGGTAAGTGAATCTATTGAGTTCTTCACCGTTGAAAGACATTTTCGCTGAAAGGCATTTTCGTGTTCCGGTTTTTATAACTAGTTGGAAAATTCGATTCAATCGCCTCTAAAATCTTGGTTTTCATGGATGGATTCGTCCCGATGAGCCAGAAAAACCAAGACAAACAGCACTCACGGCATCTTTCCCAGAAACACTCAAATATTCCTCTTCAACCAACAGAGCCACCATATCGAATTCATCATTTTCAGCAATGGTTTTTTTCCCTTAGCTTCTCCCTTCTCATGGCAATGCAATCGTCAAGAAAACGATCAGCAATCTCCAAAGATTTACTCAACCTTTTCTCCACACCGATTTGCAGCCATTGTTGAAGCTTCCAAAAGCTTGAAGGCAACACATTCCTGAACAACAAACAATTCTCTATATAATGGGCAGCCACCTTGCTTGGAAACACAGGGAACAAAACCGAAAGACCTTTCGGGTTGAATCCCAGAGCCAACAAACAGATTGTATCATAATCAAACCTATGGAGAACATCTTCAAGATCAACCGCAGTTCCATGTTCCACAGCATGTTCAAGAACCAAGACCAGACCTTTCTCCAGAACATGTCTTGGTGGTTCAAGTACTTGTTCTTCACCATTATTGCATGGAAGCTTTTCCATGTATCAGAGTCCGAAGTGACAATTTATTCACTAAAGTGCTTGAAAATCTCTCTGAACTCTAAACCCTTTTCGTAGTTGAGAAATTTCTTGGAGAATATGTGGTTAACATTCATAGGATTGCTTGCGAGAACAAAATCCAAGCTTGGGAATTTTTCAAGGTCATGGATGAAATCAGGGACATACTAGAATTTTATACCAATGGGCGAATTTTTAAAATTTTAAAAGATGTGAATATAGATTATTAATAGAAAATATAAAGAAAAAACTGAAAATATATGATTAATATAAAAATAATTGTTTAAATTTTATTTCGAAATACATTTTAGTGTTTAAAGAAGTTTTCGCTAAAAGTAAGTGTTTAAAGATTTTTCAGTTGTACTTGCCTATTGTTTATTTTTTTAATTTTTTAAAAATATTATTTTTAATAAAAAAATAAAAAATAAAAATGTTTAATTTATTTATAACCCCCAATTTTCACTGATATTATAAAAAAGGCCCTAAAAATTAAAAACTAAAATCTCTCATTTTAACCCCATTGTCAACCGTCATCGTCCATCTCTGGCCATCATCGTTATCACCGAATGGTTGAGTTTTGATCGAAATAGCACGATGGTTCGAATGGTGACGATGGTGTGCTTATAGACGTCGAAATCGACCGGAACCGACGAAAAACGGTGACAGAGGCTTAAAATCCGACGAACCTTTGAACATTCTTCCACGGAAAACGGTGACAGCTTACGATGAAAGGCCAACGGGGGTTTAATCGGGGATCGACGCCGATACTGATAAAGATGACGGTGACAGTCACAGCCGACCGATTGACCGGCGGTAGAAGGGGGAAAGTGAGTACGCACGGGCTGTTTTTTATAATAAAAAATATCTTATTATTTTTAAATTTTTTAAAATAAATTCCCAAAATTATCAGAACAAGACATGTGTCGATATTTAACGACGTTAAATGTCCAGACACCTAAAAATATAACGTTTGAAACATTAAACACTTATTTTTTGAGGCATAATTTGAACACTACTTTTGTATTAAGTCTAAAATATGATAATTCGAAATTTTTAGTGTACAAGCTACAAATTAGCAAGGGAAGCATTCCAAGAACGGGCCAACAAGGCAACAACGGCCAACATTCGAAACTATAGTTACTCAGACTCCAGGAACAAAAGTTAGATGGTACTAATTTAATCCTTAATAATTTCCTATATTATTTACTGGTTCCCTTTCTTTTTTGTTTGTTTGTTTTTTCTTTAATAATTTATTTAAACCTTAATAAGGTTCGGAGCTCAACAACCCCAGTTTCTCATTTTGAGCATAGCAGTCAAGAAGATGAACATGTTAGAGATAAGACAAATAAATCCTTTACAAACAAAACATATGAAATTAAAAATGAAAAGATTAGTTCTAGAAGAACTCATCTGTAATCCTCTAGTTCTTTTCTTGTCTCTATCTTTTCATATTGAATCTTAAATTTTCAAACAGTTCACAATGGAAACTCAGAAGGACAAAGCAAACAACAATATCAAGAAAGATTGTTGCTGAGGATGGAACTGTTAAGGATGACATGAATGAGGCCCCAATACTAAGAGAAGAGGTAAGAATGCAGTCTAGTAAAAGAAAAATGTGATCACATCATGAGTACAAGGTAAGAATACAGCCTAGTAAGATAACATAAATTGGCTAAATTAAACTGATCATTAATAACATAAATTGGCTAAATTAAACTGATCATTTTGATGGATGCCATTGCCACAGCACACAGAATACAGCCCTGAAATTGAACCATACTTCACTAGAATTTACTAGGCGAAGAACATCTAGTTTCTTGCTTGCAATTGCCTCTGAAAATTGCAAACCAAGAACCTAACACAGGAAACAAATTCGCTTTAACCAGAATAGGGATTCATTAACATGAAACGAAACTCCTAATTCAATTACCAATGAGAGTCATAAGTTATATTCTTCAACTCACAATTTCAATCTTTCAACGGCTAAAAACAAATTTGGTTATATAAAACGAAATTCAAAGAGAAAATGAAATCGACGGGAATTAACCAAACAAGCAAACTACTAATATTACCGATTCCAAGAACCTTCGAAGCAGACATAAAACTTTATAAATTTCAGTAGCATTTAAAATACCAAAATGTGCTGCAATAAAAATACAAAACTCAAAAACTAAGGTCAAAATAAAAAAATAGCATACTTAAGATAGAATCCATCAAGCCCAACGAAAACCCACCACTTAAAACCTCCTTCCGGGTCCACCACCGCGACCGAACCCGACCTGAGGAACTACGGCAACCGGGTCAACCTTAACAAGTCCAGGAATATCAGCCATCCCAAGAACCGAAAGCATATCAAGAGTTTCCTTATCAACTTCTATTTGATCGACCTTAATGGCCGATTCATCGGGGACGAAATCCATGCGACGCTCACGCTCCTCTTCTTGGAGCTTCAACGAAATGCCACGAACCGGACCCTTCTGGATCCGTTTCATCAAATGGGTAGAGAACCCGGCGATCTTGTTTCGGAGCCTCTTCGACGGGATTATAGCTACTTCTTCGATAATCTTTTTGTTGGTGTGGAAATCGAGGGTCATGCGAGAGTAGTACCGCTCGATGACCTGACGAGACGATTTCTTCACGGTCTTCGTACGGACACGGCCCATCGTTTGGATCAAAGGACGCTGGTGGCTGGAGTTTTTGCGCGAGGAAACTAATAAAGTGAGTGGTTGAGTTAGGGTTAGGGGTTTTATTTATATGAAAGGGGAACTTTCGGATGGAGGCTCAGGTTTTACGGTTCGGCTTGCTTAGTTGAGCCCAATCGAAAAAGTCTTAGGCCTTTCTCAATAATGATTTTTAAAATTATATAAAATTTGGAGTAGAATCTTCTTAGAGCAAAGGATAAGACATCTATGGTGTATAATTTGAGATGGTCTTCAATAAATTAGATTCTGGTATGGCATCAAGAATAAATGCTATGCTCCCATTTCTTTTCCTCTCATTTTCATAACCGACAAACTGTTTCCACTTGGGAACATCAAAGCCAAGTAAAAGAGAGCACCAATGGACCCTGTTTGTGGGTAGATTAGATCAACTGGAAAAGAAAAGACAGGGCTAGAGTTGGTAGGCCTTTTCGGCTCAATAAGGCCATTGGAATAATAGTTTAGGGTTTTATCAATCCTTCAATTTTAATCAGGGATCCACGATATTCACTATAATGTTGGGCAAACTCGTCACCTCGAGATGACGAGTCACATAATATTATTTTTAATGGATCTGGATGAGTGGGTCCCATGTAGACCAATGATTTATTATTTTTAATATGACTCGTCATGTCGAGCCGACGAGTCAGTTAAAAATAAATTTTTTATTATTGAAAAAAATAAAAATAGAAATTAAAAAAGGGGAACACGTCACAATGAAACTCATCACGTAGAGGTGACGAGTTTGCATGGGTTAAATTTTTAAAAAATAAATAAATTAAAAATAATAATAATTTTTATTGAAATATCATTGTTTACAAAATAATAAAATTTATTAATATTTTCTAAGTTCTTGATGATGCCAAGGAGTGGTTGAATGATAATGGCGCGGGACTCGTCGAGTACGCCGGGGTCGTCAGCCTTGATCGTAGTTGTCTTCATCTTGCCAAGAAGGTGTACTTAACACACTCTGAGATTCACCTTCGAAATACAATGATGTGCTTATGGTATTTGACGACATCATTGCCTTTACTGAATCGACTTGGTGGCTATGTTGTTGACCATATATGATATGATCTCATTCACCCT